TTATTAATATGTGATCTCTGGCTGGCTCCATGGCCTAGTGAGTAAGAGAGCCAGATGCCATATAGCTAACCCTGTTTGAATCCCAGCATCATTGACTTTAAAAACATGCCTTATGTGTGTGCATGCTTGCTCAAAATCTCGACAGGATGGAGAAATGGAGAAGAGATTGCAGTATGACCAAGCCCCATTGTGGGTATGTTTTATCTTTATCTCCCTCTATCTGCCTGTCTAGGAGTGCATGTGCCTTCTGGCAATTAAAGTATGGTTGTATTCAGACTTAGAAATGTTCAATGGTCCAGCAATAACAAGTTCATCATCTGAAAGATGTGATACACTGTCATTGTCTATGACTTTCTAAACTTTCTAATAGTGGATCACTACCATTGACAAATTATAATTTGTTTTTAAACGAGTGTGAGATTTCTAGATAAACATTTCGCACAACACATGCTAAGGAAAAATGAGGGCACAACCAACACTGATGACTTTCTTATGGAAAACACTAAAATCTATCAAGGGCAGACACTTTATTGAGCATATTTGGAGCTATTGGCTTGAGCAGGCCCTTAAACTTTTTTTTTAAAAAAGCAGATGGGTATTTATTTTCATCTAAGTGTTGCAAAAAACATGAATACACTTTAAACTTTTTTGATATTTTTTAGCAAGGAAGAAATAAAATTGTATTTGCAGATGACATGGTAGCTTACATACAAAATACCAAGGAATTAGGAGATGTTCTACAAAAGAACTATTAAAACTAAAAGTAAATTTAGGAAGATCTCAGGATAAAAGGTGAAACACTAACATCAATTGTACTTGTAAATAACAATATGACAATAACAATTTATGAAATTCCACTTACAATAAGATAGAATTTTTTTTGATTTTTTAAAGAACTCCAAATACCAGGGATGCCAAAATCAAATAGATACATATCATTTTAATACAATACAAATTTGTATTATTTCAGATATCAGCATACTAGTATACATATACTGATCATTGGAACACCAGATCACTTCTTCATTTTATAACAAGTTTTGCTTTAAATATGGACATTTTAAATTGTTTCATGTATGTTAATAAAAAATTATATCAGAGTAATGTAAACAACTATAATATAATCAACTATATGCATGTTTTAAAATAATGTTATACAATATACATAATTTGACACCAATTATTCATTTTTAATAAGGTATATTTTATCCATTATATTCTAATTAATTTAAAATTAGCCAAAATTTTATAACTGAAAGAAACTCTTTATATTAGCTCTTGATTAAAATTTTATGGACTCTTTATTACAAAGGTTAAGTTCAATAATATAGTAATCCAGCCAACAAAATAAATCTTCATTAATATATACTTAGGGCAACAAATATTGCTTATGAATTAACACATGTGGATAGTCATAAAATAAATATTAATTAGCTATTCATTTAGCTTTGGGTTTATTGATTTTTGGCATGTGAAGGAGTACATAAAATAAATTTAATAATTTATTTTCCTAGTAATCAGATTTTAGTTCAAGTAGAATTTAGTCATTTTACTAATCATACATTTATTAATGTACTGTTGATCTATATTTTCAGTTCTCTACATTTTCTTCTGCATATACATGTATCATTATATGCACATCCCATTCATCTATTTATGCCACTACTGTTTTTACATAGTCCTTATGGACAACTTATGAGAGTCATTTAAACTTCTGCTATATTTAAAAGCTTTTAAATGGTAAATATTTAATTAAATTAATTATTTAATTAATTAAATAATTTAATATTAAATATTAATTAATTTAATTAAATATTTTGGGAAAGCATTATACTAAACTAATTATTAATACTTTTACCTTTTTTATTGATTTATAGATCAGTATCTGCTTAATAATATTCCATGTCATTAGGAAAATATTGTTGACTTACTGTTTTTATATATGGTATACCTAAGTGACTACTTTTTGGAAAATAAAGTTTTGATATTTTTATAAAAACAAATGTTTGTTTGCTTTTCAATTTATTTCTTTAGTTTTTTTTTT